GACACTGAGTGAGGATGGTTTTCGCCAGTATTTTGAATCTTACGGCACTGTGACTGATGTAGTAATAATGTACGACCAGCAGACAAACCGACCTCGTGGATTCGGGTTCATTTCTGTCGATTCTGAGGAGGCAGTAGACATGGTTCTACACAAAACCTTCCACGAGTTGAGCGGCAAGCAAGTCGAAGTCAAGCGCGCTCTACCTAAAGATTCCAATACCGGCGGCGGCAGTGGGCGGTCTATGGGCGGTGGTGGTAGCAGTGGAGGATACCAAGGTTATGGATCTTCTATCGGTAATTCAAGCGCTTATGACAGTCGGGGGGAATCCAATAGGTACACACAGTCTCAAACTGCTGGTGCTGGCGGATATCCATCTTATGGTATGTCCGGGTATAATGCACCGGCTTATGGGTATGGTGGTCCCACTAATAACGGTATGGGCTATGGCTATGGAAGTTATGGTGGTGCAAATCCAGGTTACGGAATCCCTAATGCCCTAAATGCTCAAAGAAATTCGTGGGGCCCGCAGGCTCAGTCTGGATATGGCTACGGAAGCTCTCAGTGGGGTGGAGCTGCTAGCGGTGGCATTGGTGGTGGTGCCGCCCTTGCTGGTCAGTCTCCAAACCAAGGTTATGGTTACGGTGGTGGATATGGTGGGACCGATGGTGGGGCCTACGGAAACCAAGCCGCTTATGGTGCAGTTGGTGGTCGTGCTGCAAACGGTGCAGGTCACTCTGACGGTGGTTACGGTGATGGAAGTGGTAATTCGGGGTATGGTAATTCAGGTTGGAGATCAGATCCATCACAAGCTTCTGGTAATAGCTATGGAGGTGGCTATGGTGGCGCTTCGACTTGACAGGCTCAGCACACTTTACCTTGTTGGAGCTTTCTACAGTTCGAAACTCTTCTCGGCTCTCGTGCAGTGTAAGGTGGCTCTTGCTGTAGATGTCACCTATATTTAAGTGACTGGTTTGGATTGCATTTAGTTTGTCAGTACTACCTTTTTCTTTTTGTAAGCCCATAATAATTCGTACTTGAGGAATAGAGTTAGCTCATTCTATCTTCTGTCTGGTCGACTGTAGTTTTAAATTTGGCTTTCTTTATTGCTTTTTTATCTGCTCTAGAGTCTTTCTTTACTCATCGTTGTGCTCGAGAATATAGTGGCTTGTGTTGCTCTTTATGTGAGTTATTAATTGATTAACCCTCCATCCTTACTTTGCAGGGTCGATTTAATATCGAACATATTTGTGATTGTTATTTTCTTGGTACTTCACGAGAGACGACTTGGTTAACCTTTAGTGGAAGGAACTTGACCATGAACTATATATAGATTAGTTCTTTGTATTATTAGGTATTGAAGATCTTGCGGTTAGTGGAAAAATCGTCCAATCATATCCTTTTGTTGTGTAGAAGTGAATTTTAGCAGCGTTGCTAGATGAGGTGTCGTAATGGGTAGAGATAATCTTTAGTGGTAGATAAAATTATGGCAATGGAAATAATCTGTCTCCTCCTCTATTTGGCCTTGTGTTGTACAGGAGTGAAGAAGATATACTCGTGTGCTGAGGTTGGTGAAGTGGGGCCCACTCGAGCTAATAGAGATTGCGATTGCGCACACACGATGAAACATGCAAACTGGTATGTTTGGTCTCTTATAGAAGTCACTTTGCTAATGTTGTTGGAGTTTTAGCATTTCTGGAAAATGTGACTGATAGGGAATAACAGCCGACTTTGATTGCAGTTCGTTCGTTTATTTGGGGAGACTTTTTTTTATTTTTAGACATAATTAGTTTTTAAGGTTAGGTGCATTATAGTTATACCTAGATAAATGTCTAGTTGTTGGCCTTTTTTATGAGAATAATTGCAATAAAGTTATATATCTGGTTCATTTTTGTAGGCATAGATGGATTCATATTAATTTGAATTAATAGTTATATATAGTCAAAATGTTCTTTCATACATAGGGTGATTTAATAAACCAAAGAATGGATAGGCAAATTGGTTATCTTTTGTCAACAATATAGAGCACGTAAAATTTGTTTATATTGATCTTAACAAATTTTCTTTCTATGGTTGTACAGTTATCTATAAATTAATACAGTCGGGATTAATAAAATATATGTTAATTTAATGAAATATTAAATTATCGAACTAGTAATTTAGTCAGGACGAGAAAAGATAATTATTCAAGCAAGGTTATTAATTTATTGAAGTTCTAATGTACGAAAATATATTAAACTAATTATCAGAGTTTGTTCACTAAAAGCATGTTTGAAAACAATTTGTTAATAACTCGAGCTCGATCCAATTGCTTATTAAATTGAGCTCAAAATCAGCTCCCAAAAATCAAATAAGTTTATCAAATTGAGCTCAAACCCAACTTCCAAAATAAAAAATCAAACAAATCTAACAATATTTTCAGCTCGATTTGATTAGTTACATCTAATAAATTAGTAGTAGTCAAGAAGTTATTAATTTTCTGGAGAAAATAAAAATGAAACCAAAATCGAACCATACACGACATAATTAAATATAGAGTAAAAAGCAGTTTGCCCCCTAAACTAATGGCCGATTTGCACTTTGCCCCCCAAACAAAAAAAATTTGCACGTTCTTACCTGAACTCCAATTTTTGTTGCACTGTGCCTCAAAAATGCGATTTTCAGGCCATTTTGACCGGAACCCAAGGCACACGTGAATCACGTGACTTTGGCAGGGGCAAATATGTCCTTTTACATATATTCTTCATTTACTCCTTCCTAATCCAATTTATGCCGTCCAAACTCCAAACCCACCACCATATTGCACTCGAAATTTTTTGGCTAATGCTTTGGATATCTCTTTTCAATGGAATTTTATTAATCTAACTGCCAATTCGAGTATTGAGTTGAATACTTACTGTATTTTTGTTATTGTCAGTATTTTGAAGAAATTTAAGAAAATAATATAATTGGGGAAAAAGGACGCCGGTGTCGGAGGCATGATTCAAATACCGCCGGTTGATTCCAAGGTTTTCTATTTCCCACAAGGCCACGATGAGCAGTCTTAATAATTTCGATTTCGGGGCTTTACCCAAAATTCCGCCGATGATTTTTTACAGGGCCGCCAAAAAAAATCACGGCGATGACCCCAATTTTATACATTCTGGAAGTTTTTTTGTTCATTTCGAGCAAATTGATCAAAATAACTTTTAACGAAAAATAATTAAACAGGGCAAAATATGTTTTTCATGTTTTTCTGTGGAATAAATTATGTTTGAACTAAAATTGATGATGACGATGAGCAATTGCTCCACATGTGTTAGTTTGCGTTGTAGATATATATTCTTGTCAACTTTTTTCACATATTTTTATTTGTTCTTGTTTGATTTGTGCAGTACGAGACTAGAATTGAAAAAGAAAATTGATTTATAGAGAGAATGAGAAAAGAAACTGTATCAGTGCGTGTGGGTTTCATGGGGATTTTGCAAAGAAGACGCACAAGGAAGAAAGATACATTTTTTTCCTTTTCTTTTATTACTTTTTTTTTATTTTTTTAAGTAAAGTGACAATTTTACCCCTTTAAAACTCACGTGAACGGCGCATGCTTAAGATTCCGGTGAATATTGCCTGAAAATGCCACTTTTTGGGCATTGTGCAACAAATTAGCTAGTTCAGGTAAAAACGTGCAAAAAAAATTTGTTTAGGGGGTAAAGTGCAAATCGACCATTAGTTTAGGGGGTAAACTGCTTTTTACTCTTAAATATATCATCTAATTTCAAAACGAAAAAAGAAAAAGAAAAAAGAAAAAAACTAACCAAAGAGTCTAATTTCCTCTCCCACCAAACCAAAAGAATATCGAATCAGCAAATCTGAACCCTTAATTCCTAATCCCCAGTTTTCGTCCTCAAATCCTAGCCATCCATTTCTCACCCTACATAAAACACTCTCTTCTCTCTCAACCCACCAACCCTCTCTCTCCTCTCTCTCTCCTCAGTCCGTAGTACTAGGCTTTCGCAAAATCAAACCCAAACCCTCATTTCTCTCGGGACTGTCACGGAAAACCTCTGTCTCTCTCTCTCTCTCTCTCTCTCTCTCTCTATCTCTCTCTGCGCGGATAAATCGATGGATTCCGATCAGGGGAAACTATTCATCGGAGGAATTTCATGGGAGACCGACGAGGAAAAGCTCAAGGAGTATTTCCATGGCTACGGCGAAGTACTTCAGGCTGTTGTGATGAGAGACAAAATATCTGGCAAGCCCAGAGGATTCGGCTTCGTGGGGTTTCTCAGATCCGGACATACTCGATGGGGTTCTCGAGGATAGGCATGTTATCGATGGCCGGACGGTACGATTTGTACAAAAGAGATTCACTTTTTTTTATTTTTTTCTTTTCTTTCATTTTTTGTTGTTTCTATGTTTGGTGTGAGATACAAATTTTAGGTTAAGTAATTTAGTATTCAAAGCTCGAAGCTAGCATTTTTTTTTGATCTAGAAATTGATGAGTTGGGATTTTTTTGTCTCGCACTTAGTTTCTTATTGCTGTTTCTGTTTGATCATGCCAAAAAAAAAAAAAAAATCATGCAAATAGTTATTGTGTTTCTGGATTTGATCTTGGATGTGAGTTAATGTTTTTAAGTTCGTGCTTATCGCTATAGAATTATGTACTTATTAATGAATTTAAGAATGTCGGTGACAATGAATTTGGGCTAGGTATTGATGGGTTGCGCCTATTTTTCTTGGATGGAGTTATTTTCGAGAACGGTGTGTCGATTAGCTGCATTGCCAGTAGTAATAAATGCTGCTTTTAAGTAAATTTGTTGTATGAGCATTAGCCTGGTTTGTTTGCATTTGAGTTGTTGACTTATATAGTTGAATAATCGAATGTTCAGTTTTGACGAATGTCGAAAATGTTTCCTTTTTTTTTTTTTTCCTTCCGCGTAACCTCTCGTTATCTATTTTACAATGTCCCTCTTCTCCCATTATGGGAAGTTGAGGATTTTACAATGTAGAACGTTTCATTTTTTTTTTTGCGTAACCTCATAATTTTTGTTTTCCCGAACAGGTTGAAGCTAAAAGAGCTTTATCTAGAGAGGAGCAACAGGTTACGAAAGTTGGAAATCCTGGTGGTGGTGCTAGAAATTTTGGAGGTGGTGGTGGAAGTACACGAACCAAGAAAATATTTGTTGGCGGTCTCCCACCAACTCTTAGCGAGGATGGATTTCGTCAGTATTTCGACTCCTATGGCGTGGTAACTGATGTTGTAATAATGTACGATCAGCAGACCAATCGTCCTCGTGGATTTGGGTTCATTTCCTTCGATTCCGAGGATGCAGTAGATAGGGTTTTACACAAGACCTTTCATGATTTAAGTGGTAAGCAAGTGGAAGTGAAGCGTGCTCTTCCTAAAGATGCCAATCCTGGTGGTGGGGGTGGGCGGTCTATGGGCGGTGGTGGGGCGGGATACGGTTCTTCTGCTGGTAACTCGAGCTCTTATGATGGTCGAATGGAATCCAATAGGTACATGCAGTCACAAAATTCTGGTGGTGGGTTTCCATCTTATGGCTCGTCTGGTTATGGTGGCGCTGGTTACGGTTATGGTCCCACTAATACAAACATGGGTTATGGCTATGGAAACTATGGTGGTGCTAACCCTGGTTATGGCGGAGGAGCCTATGGAAACCCTAATGCTCCTAATGCTGGATATGGTGGTCCTCCAAGTGCTCAAAGAAGTTCATTGGGTTATCAGGCGGCATCTGGATATGGCTACGGAAGCTCGCAGTGGGGTGCTCCTAGTGGCGGCATTGCCCCTGGTGGTGGTGGAGCCGCTAGCGGTCAATCTCCGAGTGGTGCGTCTGGGTATGGAAATCAGGGCTATGGTTATGGCGGGTATGGTGGGAGCGATGGAGCTTATGGTAACCAAGCCGCTGCATATGGTGCTGTTGGTGGTCGTGCTGGAAGTGGGCCAAATGGTGGGGCTGTGGCGGGAGATTTGCAATCCGGTGGTGGTGGTGGTTATGCGGGAGGGGGTGGTTATGGTGACGGAGCTAATTCTGGATATGGAAATTCGGGGTGGCGATCTGATCCTTCGCAGGCTTCTGGTAACTATGGCGGGGGCTATGGGTGGAGCTTCAGCTCGACAGGCTCAGCAGTGATTATATATGTTGCATCGATCGACCTATTTTTGTTTGTTTGGAGCTTTCGCAGTTCAACGTGCTCTCGTTTTCTGGTGCTGAACGGGGGCTGCTCAAAGATGGTACCTGAGTTATGGGACTGGTTGGATTTCGCATTAGTTTGATAAAATTATATTAATTTGCCGTACCTTTTTTTTGTCTTTTTGGTAGCTCAAATTCTGGAGTAGAGTTACTCGCCCCCACTCTTCTTTGAACTGTTAGCTTTAATTCGGCTTGCTTATAGCTTAGCTGTCTTTGAGTCTTATCATATCGTTACGTCTTGAAATAAGTAGTCTGTTCTAAATTTGTGTGACTTTTAGCTGCTGGGAGCCTGAAAGTTATTTTGATATACGATATGTGAAATTACCGATTAACCCTAACCCTTATTTTCGCAGGTTTTTATGTGATGTAGAAAGCTGCATGATTATTTTATTTGACGACACTGATTCATTGTCCCTTCTGAATTTATACGATGAATACTGAATGTGAGTTCTTGAAATAGTATAGCAAGTGAACTAGAGACTTGGTCGACTATATCGGAAGGGATTTGGTTAATACTTATCTCGGGTAGTGCAGATCTTAGTAGTAGTATTAGTGTTAGTTAAATACTCATTTGTTGTGTAGAAGTTTAGCATTAGCAGAATGTGGTAGATCGAATCTGGTAGCGTAAGCGATAATCTTAGCGGTAGATAGATAAAAATTTTGGCAATGGAATAATCTTCTCCGTGTATTTTGGCCTTGTGTTGTGTACAGGCTCGGAGATTATAGAGGTGGGCTTCGGCTGAGTTGAGTTGATGTGACGATTATGCTTTACTCTTTGAAAAGCAGGACGGCCTCTACCGGCAGCTGTGTTGAACTTGGAATTTCTCAATCTTGATAAAGAAGAAAGAGTTTTTTTTTTATTACTTTGAATCGAAGAATTGAAAGCACAAACGTTGGTATGTTGGTTTTGGAGGGCAGTTAGTTGATAATAGTAGTTCTCGTCATATTTTAGTGAAATGGATATAGAATTAGGCTCTTACGTTTCCGGACAAATATCGACGAATTGTCGTACAGTACACGGTAATCGTTGTCGGAATAAATAGGTGATTCCTTCAAGGAGAACAAAACTGATTTTTAGTTGCTTGTCATTTATTTTGTTGTGTTCTTTTTTCCTTCTTGTTTCTTTCTTTGAGGTGGATATATTGCAATTGTTTTTACCTTGTGATTTCTGGTGATTTAATTTTATTATATTGCCTGGCTGGCTAATCTTGATATGGTTACCAAGTATCGGGCGTCTGTCGATTTTCGATTTTTTTTTCTTTCTGCTGCAGTGATCGTTTCATATCGATTATCGAACGTTGTTGAGTTTTTGGGCTGATTAAATTAAAATAAAGAATTCTGTGTTAGCATGTAATGATACCACTCTTTGTTTCAACAAAGAAACTGAAACCGAAATCAAAACCAAAACCGAATCTGAACTCACGGTACATTCTTTAAGCTCCAAGCGACGGAAAATCTCCAGGTCTCGTGAATACAATCTGACAAGAGAGAGAAAGACGACTAAACGTTATATGCATCTCCGTTTATTACTAGTATCCTCAGCCGAAAAGTGAAATGATACGGAAGAAAACTTTTTGTCTGAACTTCATGATATGCTAATTAGACCACAAAGAAGTCGTTTTTTTTACGCAGTTTCTTAACAGACTTATCAGATACATGTCGAATTAGGAGAACATTTTCATGTCGAATTTAGGTTAATTAATCATTCCATGAAAGCCAAAATAACAATCTCTAGTGTTTATTTAATTTTCAGCAACAAAACCACACATAATGAGAATAAAAAATCCATCTTTATTTCAACAATAAACTTCCATTACAGCAACTTTTCTTTGTCTGAGGTTTCTTTACTACAAAATTGTAATAAAGATGTGATCAACACTTTATTTCAACAACAACAAAATGACATTAAAACAAATTATATATATATATATATTTTGGTTACTAGGAAGAATTTAGTGGATCATTGCCGAATGCCGCAACATCTCCAGGTCGAGTGAATACGATCTGGCAAGACGAAGATTTACGAAATAAATTTAAATAATTTTGGCATTAATAATTTCTGATGAATATATAAAGAAAGAAATAAACGGTGAGACGAACTAATTAATACCTGATAATTTCCCATAATAGACATTTTAAAACCAGCAGCAGTGTAGCTAAAATAATATTCCCACGTTCGTATGAACTTCTCATCGAAACCGAGAGCCATGATTTTACTACAAACCGACAAAAGTTGTGTTAGTTAGTTCTAGTACACAAAATAAATAATAAATAACCCGCAGAAGCGTATTCGAGATGGGAATCAAATAAAGCATATTCTTCTTAGCTTACCGTTGGTTTCGGAGAAAGTTTTCCCTCCAGCATCGGAGCGTTTGATAGTAATGACTTCCTATATCTTCCGCGTGCACCACACTGTATCGTAATAAGAAATTCGACGATCGAGTTTAATATTATTTTTTTATTTTAATAGCAAAATACCCCCCTATGATTCGATTTTTTTAATTTCTCTATAAGGTGTTTTTTTTTGGCTAATATTAATAATACGAAAAGTTGAAAACGAGTTATGTATAAGTAAAAAAAATAACGTCGACTTTACCAAAGTCTCGATGCACTAGCCATTGTCGATGTTATTCGACTAAGTGAAGGCAAGAATCCACCGGGGAATATATATTCCTTAATGAAGCCGTGACTGAGTCGAAACTCGTCGTACTTCTGATCCACTATCGACGAAGTCTACAGAAAATTTTCGATTTTTAGGATAATATATATATATATATATATATATATATATATATATATATATATATATATATATATATATATATATATATAGACAAATTCGATACTAAAATTAATGATTCTTTCTCTAATTCATAACTCACTTGAAGAACGAAAAGTCCATTTCTGCTAATGCAGATTCACAGCACATGAAAAATTCTTCCATGTAATCGTGCCCCACAGCTTCCAACATCTCACTACAAAAATCGGCTCCTTCGATTATAAAATACTCTCGTTTGCAATAATATCATATGTATGTATATATATGTATAAATATATATATAAGCTCGATCACCATGATATTATCCGGTCGTATTTGCATCCGTCGGGCAATTGGCGATAGTCGCAAAGAAGAAATTTAATTCGATCCTGAAATTGCAAACGACAGCAATTCAACTTTTGAAATGAATACAACCGAAATTTGTATTAATCGAATAAAAAAAAACACGAGCAAATTATAGTATTACCTGCAAACCAGCTTCCTTAACTTTAATTTCGGCATACTGCAATTGTTCGATCGAGAGTGTGATTCCTGTATATTTGCATCCGGTCCTTTTCACTACTTCAATTGCAAAACTTCCCCAACCGCATCCGATTTCTAGAATGTGATGCTTCTTATCGACTTTCGCCTATATTTATCGACAAAAAATTAGCTACAACTATTATTTATTTATTTATTTATTTAAAGACTCGTATATATGTCATGTACACAAAAATGTCACCTTTTTTATCAAAGAATCGAGTTTCCTGATTTGTCCACTCAACAACTCTTCACCCGAATCCTTCGAGTATCGACATTTACACGATAATTAATAGTGAATTCAAGAATTATTTAAAAATAAAAATAAATAAATAAATAAATAATCCGAACCTGGAATAGTGCACACGAGTAGGTCATTGTATCATCCAGAAACAGAGAAAAGAGTTCGTTGCTCTGTAAAGAACAATACGACGAGTTTCGATTTTATTTATCCGTATATTATATTTCATAAATTACATATGTTTTCCTTATTTCAACGAAGAAAAAATACTTACAAGATCGTAGTGCTTCGAAATGTTTCGACGCGCTTGAGTTAGCGTATTCTTCTCCGAAAGAAGCTTACAGAAATTCCTGCCGGATGCTATTATAGAAGTGAAAACCAACGGCGTCCACCATCCCCTAATTATAAATAAGCAAAAATGTATATTAATTTTTCGAATAATGATTAAAAAGACGATTAAGATAACATCGATATCGAAAATTTGATAATGCATCACCTTTTCTTGTTCAACTTCGACGCCGAATCATTCAACTCAATATTGCCTATAAATAACTGCGCATGCATATTCGAAACGACCATTGTTATATATTTATCGTAAAGAACTAAAAAAAATCGTAAAGAAATATTTGATCGATTTACGTACGTACCATAATAAGGTTGACAAGACCTTTGTCCTTATCCACGAACGAGAAATCACCATCGATGTACGCATCGGCGAGTCCTAAGTCACCTTCTATTGCAAGCTGTAACACAGTAGTCCGATTTCGAATCGAAATAATTTTCTCTTACGAAATGAAAAACATTAATTACTTTTATATTAAGGAAAAAATCGGGAATTAATTACCTTCCAATAAAACTGGGGATTGTGTACTCTCAACGAGATTTTTAAATCGCTCGTCTTTCTAGAGCCTTCAAACGTGAATACCGTACCTCCGTCTTCCGCTAAACTGTTTCGCGACGGGTTTAATTAGTTCTTATCGTATAACCAACCGCTTTTGATTTATCGATATTTGATAAATTGTCGAAAGAATTTCGATTTAAAAAAAAATGCATTAGCTTATTCAACGAAATGCATTGGACGCGAAAAAAATAAGTAGCAGCAGCTCAAAATAACATGCACAAACCATAAAAAAAAAAAAAAAAAAAAAAAAAAAAAAAAAAAAAAAAAAAAAAAAAAGAAGTTAATTTTCGAGAAGAATTAATCTGACATTAAGCAGCCTGCAACGATGAATCGTCGAAGAAACCGAATCACAAAGATCCGTGCCCCTGCTTCGGTCCACGATGGTATCATTTGTTTCGGATTTTTTCGTAAAGTAAATACTTTTTTTCCGAGCAAACTGTTTGCAGCAAGTAAACCTGCCTGTAAGAATCGAACATTTCTTACTACCACCGTAAATAAATAAATAAGAAACAAAATTGCTTCAAACGTAAAGTCAACCGACTACATTTGTTTTTCACATTTTCGTATGCCGATTAAAATGACAGAAAATATGTAATAGTCCACGTGCGAATACGAACGCATGATCTGGAACTCGAATTTTCTTTATTCCCTTTTTTATTCGTTTCGAAATATATAAATAGTTCTGGTGAAACCATGTTAATAGAGACAACATTGGAATTTAACTCGATTCGAAATTATATTACGAGCACTAAAGAAATTAAGAAATTAATTACCTGAAGTCCATCCTCATGGAAGAAATAGTCTGAAAAATACGTAAATACGAGCAAAAAACCGTTAGTAAATTTCATAGACTCGATTTATGATTTTTTTTACCGAGGGTTATAAATTTAATAATTCACCTTGATAAGCTCCACAAAACCATATTCGTCTCTTTCCTTGGATGAGATTAAGCTCGGCTAAAGCTTTCGATGCAGCAAGTGATGGGATCGGTTGACTAGTTGACCACTTTCGCAAAGTATTTTCGGGTTTATGGGGTGGATTAACAGTTAATAAATACGGAAGTCCCGTCTCGCTAATATTCTGAAATATTCACCATTAAAAAAAAAAAAAAAAAAAAAAAAAAACAGAGGAGTTAATAGAAAACAACGATTTAAAACGAAGAATGTCGGTTATTGAACATGCACAAACCTGAACTGCATTGAGCCAATAAGTTATATACACTTTATTTTCGATAGTTCCTAGAAAATTCGACGAGCTCCAAGCTGTTGGATTCTTCGGCATTAAATTTTCGTCACGATGAAGGAAAACGTCGCTGCGATAAATGTTTAAAAAAAAATATCAAGAACAACAACTTTCTTCGTAAAAAAAAAATTTAAAGAAACGAGCGAGACAAATATTAGAACCTGTCTGCGTATTGAAATGCGCCGAGTATTCTTGATTCGTCGTGCGTCGCTTTATTGCCTAATATTTTCAGCGCATTACGAGTATTTGTAGCAATTATGCACCCGTCGTATACTTCTTCCGAGCCATCCTTACAAGTTATAACAACACAACCTACATTTTGTTTTTATAAAATTAAATTACAACTAGACGAAAATAAATACAGAATCGGAAGATGAGAAAATGCTCTCGTTTTACGTATATATGCTCACCCTCGTCATTTGTCAAAACTGAATACACTTCAGAATTGGTTTTTATTAAGCAACCTCTAAGTTCCAGCTCTTTCTTCACCTGGTTTTCGAATTTAATGCAATAAATCAGATCCCGAAACTTTTATATATTATATAGATGGTTGTTAAATCGTAAATCGGATCTAATTGTAAATCGTAATATTTGTAATTCTTTCAAAAATAAAATAGATAATAATTATATACAAGCTCACTTATGCTATTAAAATCGGTGTCGTGTGAGAAATTCGAGTGTCGTGTGAGAAATTCGAGTAAAAAAAATACAAATGTCTCTTGAGAACTAATTAAAATAAAATAATATTTATTAGAAAAAATAGATTTTGTGCAACAATAGATGAGGAGGAATATATATAAGCAAAAATAATACTATATTGTGATTTTCTTTTTATATATACTTGATTTAATAGTATTTCGGGTGGATAAAGTGTTGACAATAACGTAATAATCACATTAACTATTTCTAGTTACAGTCTAATGTCTTTTTAATTGAAATTTATTATAAATAATATAATAAAATAAGATTTTCTTGAATCGTAAAAATTGTAAATCGTAAGAATCGAATCATAAATCGTAAGATTTGATCAAATGTTTGACATTTAAGATTTCTTTTAAGATTTGAATGGATTTGGGTATGAATCGAATCGTAAGATTTTAATAACCATGATTATATATATGTATGACGATAGTCGAAAAGTGAAAGTAAAAGAAAATATATCAGAACTTACTATATCTGCGTAATTTTGCGAACGGAGTTTCGGAGTTACCCGTTGAGTGGGACCAAAGAGCTACATTGAAAATCAATATATGAGCTAAATATTTCGTGCGCGCCAAAATATAAAAATAAAAATTACGAGGTATATACCATAATGAATACAAAAACCGTACCTGCAAAGCGTGGTGATTACACAAAAACAAAAGTGCGGAATAAGCGGAGAGGCTCTTTAAGCTTGACGAGCATGACCATATCGAAGCACAAGTCGGAATCTAGAAATTGAAAAATAAATAAAAATTGAACAATAAGTATACGTAAAATGAACAAATGAGCCTACAAATAACTCGGAGTCTCCATTGAATAAGTATACGTAAAATGTCGAATCAAGTATAATTTTTTTTTTTCAACAGTCTCACAAGAAAAGCTTTCTGGAATAACTCGGAGTAGCCCCGTGATTGAACAAAGTGATCGAGCGTCTCGTTTCTATCGACGTCTTGATTGTTTTCTAGCTCTGCAATATACCTACGAAACACAATCGAAAAAATTCTTGAATTTATCGTTCAACAAAAGCATATATATATATATATATATACTATACTGAATTGTGATCTTACTTACTTTATTGCATCATCGTTGAACTTAGTGATTTCTCTAACCATTTTCCAAAAATACGGATTCAATAGATTCTTCTTTTGTGCAAACAAACTCGAAAACCCGTTCCGATTCCCCCACTCGCATCCTTGCCCGCCGGACAAGCTCACGGAGAATGACGTGTCGGTGGGCCCCATTTCGATTCCGAGACTCTCTAACAACTCAGTCGTGTTAGGATTTGTAACCTGTTCAATGAATCAATGGCATAGCCTTAAATTTGTGTTCACAATTCATACACAAATCTCGATTTCGACAATGCATATTTTAGTAACATAACTTCATGAAGGATAAAAATATACACCACATTTACATTTAAGATCTTATAATATAATGGATTTTTTAATAATAGCTTATAAGTTCATTATCCAAACACTTTACAAATTTAATTCAAAAATTAAGACGTAACAATTTATCAGCTCTTAAAACAACTTATCAGACGATAGAGCTCATCAGCTGTTTAGAACAAATTCAGCCAAACAGGGCCTAAGTGATGAAGATAAACGAACATAAAATAAAAAACAAATACTTACATTACAAAAGCCGATTAATCCAATATCCAACTCAGTACCATCAGTAGCAGTAACAGTATTAGCATGGCCGCCGCCTAAGCGAGTTTCCTTCTCGTACAACACCACTTTCACCCCTTCTTTCGCCAGAATGTAACCGGAAATCAGCCCGCTAGTGCCGCCACCCACCACCGCCACCCTCATGTTCGACATCTCTTCAAAATCAAATCGCATTATTATTAGAATATATATATGCACAAAGGTGACACTAGTAAATTAAGTTCATCTTCATGCAAATGTTCAAAAAACTAAATGCACGTACCTGTAATAAACAAGAATTCCTTTATTTTCACTGTATTTTTATGCTTTGCACAATTGAATGTTTACTTCTTGGACATATATATACTAGCAAGTTTGGCGCAAAAATAGAAAAAAAATAAAAATTAAAAAATTAAAGAAAAAAGTTTGGCCAAAATTAAAAACTGCAGCATAGAATATAGGGTGGCGGAGTGTTTAATTGAACAGTCACATATGTATCATATATGGTATCATATTGTGTAGAGACTAGAGAATAAATAGCCTTTTCAAATTGGATAATGTCAAATAGGCCCATGACAATGGCACTTAATTAAAAGAGGGACACCCAACTTTTTTGTCTTTCAAATAAATCCAACCCATTTAAACTTATTTGCAAATAAGGAAAATCCTTTTATATATACCAAAATTACCCTCAATTCATTGAAACACAATTTAACTCTCATGATTTACACCCCAATTTAGCCCAATTTCATCAATTAACCAATTTTAACCCTAATTTCAATTTTGACCCCAATTTTGACCCGCCACCACCGGAGACCGCCGGTCGCCGCCGTTGACCGGCGTTGACTTTTTTATTTTTAATTTTTTTTGAAATTTTTTTTTCCTGGAATTTTTTTCCGGCCGGTCAACTGCCGTTGACCGCCGGGTCTCCGGCGTTGACTTTTTTTTTTTTTTTTTAATTTTTTTTTTCTTAAAAAAAATATTTTAATTAATATTACTGTCTTGGCTGCTAAATTACTGTCTCCGACAGTTATTTAACTGTCGGAGACAGTAATTTAACTGTTAATTGACTCTTTTTTTTTCCTTCAAAAATATTTTAATTAGTATTACTGTATTCGTTGCTAAATTACTGTCTCCGACAGTTATTTAACTGTCGGAGACAGTAATTTAACTGTTAATTGACTCTTTTTTTTTTTCCTTCAAAAATATTTTAATTAATATTACTGTATTCGTTGCTAAATTACTGTCTCCGACAGTTATTTAACTGTCGGAGACCAATGTTTTGAAAACCGGACCGGACCGGCCGGTCCGACCGGTTCAACCGCGAACCGTCGCCATGTCCGGTCCGGTTAGACGTCAAAACCCAAAATGCTCAAAAAACCGGGTTAATCATCAAAAATCCGGTTCAACCGGTAAGAACCGGGTAACCCGAAGACCAACCCAAAAAACCGGTTTTTAGCTCACAAAAAATTTCATCGTCGGATCTACGTCGTGGGTTATTGAATCTTATCGGAAATGGTTACTGGTGAACGGATCTAGGTAGTATGTAACTGATATGCCTAATTGGGCCAACCCAATGGGCCTACAATTTCTTTACCTATTGGGCTACGAGCCCAATATCGAAGACTAATATCACCGAGGCCCAAACACCTTCAAGTAAGGATTGGGCCCAACAAATCAAACCCAACCCAATAAACGACATATAAATAGAGGTTTTACTCATTTTATTAAGGTACGTCCTATTAACTGAGCAATACTAAAATATGTATTCTCTGGACTATTTCTATGAC